TATAATATAGTAAGATATATACATACAGACATACGAAGTTATATTTATATAATAAAGGATAAAGGATAAAAAGCATTTGCCGTTGATCAATCCCTTTTGGGATGCGGCACGCATTCTACTTCCATTTGTACATTCGTAGTGGCGTTTGAATGCGATGTGGCCTATACAATGACTTGCGGGGGCCAGCCGATGTACAAGTCAGTGTTTTTATCCTCCCAGACAAGTCTGGTACCAATTAACCGACCCCGGAGGGATGGAAGGCTTGGTTGGCCCGGGCGACTCACGACCCAGGATTTGATCCCCGGACCGCTCGCGTGGTAAGCGTGCCACTTGCCACTACACCACTTCCGCCCTTTTTAATCCTATGCAAGTTTTTTTTTTGAGTTTTCTTTCATTTTTTGCGGGATTTCCTGTTGAACTGCGCGAAAACCAATTTTGAATGAGAAAGATAAGGAATCTTGAGGAAAAGGAGATACTGATGATGGTAATTCAACTTCTTATCTCTAACCATATAACTAGGTAGAAATGCGAAATCAGTCAGTTAACAACATAGAAAACAAAAAATCGGCGAGAAAAACCGTAATAACAACCCCGTCTGAGCGCTATGACAACATGAGGGGATATTTTGCGATTGTTTCCATAACCTGTCTGAACATGTACACTCTGTTTCATGCAGCCAGAAATCCACGTGGCACACGTGGCTAAATTCTCGATGAAAAGGTGACGTCACGTGTGCTCAAAGATGTTCTTGAATCGATGCCACGTTAATGCCACGTCAATTTCTGCAATTGCACAATTTCTGGTTATTTGAAGGCGAGGGTACATGTATGTGTACATTAGTGGTTTCGACTCCAGATAGAAGAGCGCATGCTTTACGTCACAGTCATGCTAAGCTTTTCGAAAGAAGGAAAGAGACAGAGATGATTTCAAAAAGCTATCGCAAGATACGGGGACAGGATAGCGATGGAAAAAGCCTTAGGAGGAGGAGAAGAAGAACGATTGAGGGATTTTTGTTTCCGCGATATTCCTGCCCGCTCTCTGGGATTGGTCCTGAAGGATGTCCCCATATCCTGCGACAGCGCCCAGAAGGACTATACGTTCCAGAATAGAGAGAAAACCATGATAATGCATGGTTGGGTAAAGCTTAAAATGCGTCTGAACGTGTATACTCTGAACCATTGTCAGATCTTCATTCTGACGCATTCCGTATGTAACCAAGATTTGACCAGAACGCACACGTTTATACTGCCCCCACAAATTGCGATAGCGCCCTTGTCTGTAATAGAGATATCACGAGGCCAATTAGTGACTTTTAATTGCTATGTTAATTCCTATTGTTCTGAGAAACTCAGCAGATACATATCTCAATATTTGACATGCTTTGTTTTGTTAGTGAGCTGAAAGCTTTGACCAATACGCTATTACCTCTTTTCATTTGTGAGCAGCAAATGCCCAGTATCTACCGATCTGTCTTCAGTCACTCTTAAAAAATCATACTTTTCAGTTGAGTAAAAGGCCGGCATATCTTTACCGTGACGCCGTGCTGCATGGATCTCAGCTCATTCGAGTTTTATACAAATACCAGTTTGGTCCCCTAGCAACCGTCGGAACCTCGCTTCCCTCAGTAAGCTTTACGATCCCCCTCCCCCTCTTCTCTCCTCCCCCATTGCTCTCCAGTTGCCACTGCAGCAGTTTGGTTGTGCAATCATGCCATTGCAAAACGTTGATAGGGCAAGCTTAAGATTGTTAGCGGCCTGTTTATTCCATTAGCTTCCTTTCACTCACTTCATTTTGCGGACGGACAGACAAACATACATACAGACATACATGTAAACCGACACACCAAGTTAGCGGTTTATAAAATAGAAGGATATCAGAGATCTGAAATCCATCACGAAAGAGCTGGCGCTAAGGGCGATCCTATCAGGAAAACACAAACGCTTATCGATAGCCATAGAGCACCACAACAGAGCTTCAGTGATTCACTGGTTGATGTTGTGATCAGTC